GCAGATCAATAACCTGATGTAATCAATGCATATGAAAACTCAGAATAATGCATTGGAAAAATTCTGATACAGTGTTATAATGTATCTTTACAGTACCTTAAAGCATCACCCAGAAGAAATGCTATGCTGGGAGGATGCTCACATCTTCACATGTACAGATGTTATATTTAGAGCATAGGAACTCTTATAATGAAATCTTTGAACCTGGGGTGGTATTTTGAACTTTGAACTTCGGGGTTTTGAGGTATCACCTTGTCAACAGCTTAACTGATTGATAAAGTAACAGCTTGAAGTTATTACAATACCTACAACAACGGTATCCTGGCCTTTAAGCACGACATTAACATAAATCATTCCTAGTCTTATTCTTCATCTGCTATAACATGACCACCATATAAAATAATCTCAGTGGGAGAGTAAGTCATCAGAGGGACCTTTGACTTGAAAAATATGGACATTCTTACACAAAGTTTAGACAAATGCAAAGAGAATATATATGTGTGTATTTATTATTACATAATTAAAAAAAATAGTAAGCATTTAAACATACATCTTTGCTTTCTTCTTCTGTATAGACTGTCAGTCAATGAGTCAAAAGCACTCCAGATCAGGCTTATATGTTTATTGGTTTGTATTACTTCACGAGTGAAAATCAGCTGTCCCAGAGTACTTGCCTCTGAAATATCTACCAGCACACTATTTTTCTCAATGACCCGACTGGGGCTTCAGGGCACTCACAAGGGAAAACCACAGCTAACGTGATTGCTGCAGAAGCAGGGCACACACTCAGAAGTCACAGTTTGTGCCCAGAAGAAATGCCTGTTGGGCATTCTCATTCCATCAAATTTACGGTCACTGATTTGGTATTTACTTTTTATCTCCTTGTTGCAATGTAAGAGGTTTCATTTTAAAACATACTTATATCAAGCAAAACCCATCATGTTTTTTTTCTGCATGCTTTTCAGAAGACAGAGGGGAAAACCTGTGGGCCATGTATACATTGCATAAAACTTAAACAAGGTGTGGAAACAAAGTTGAATTTGTCACCAAACTACACCTGCTCAAGAGACAGATTCCATCATTTCCAGTTTGCCTTGAATTAGATCATTTTCCCCATACTCACAGGCTACAGCACAGAGCTATGACATTCAGAAAATATTTGCAAGAATTCTCCTCTGAAGATCAGAGAGTCCCTGAGCTCAGTATGAAATGGTGAGGTGGTATAAGCTAGACAAGTGCATTTTATCTACCTTCTTATGCTGATACACAGAAATACATACAAGGTAGAAAGAGAACTTAGAAGGTACAAACCAAATTTATGCTTTTCAAATATACATCAGCCTGTAGCATCATCCCTTGCTTAACACAACTAAACAAGACCTTCAGGCTTTTTAATCATTCTGTAGACTTAACTTATTCAGCCACCAAATACTCTGTATCCATTTTTATTCTTTTTCTTTACTGGACTACCTCAATTTACTGATGCTTTTCTAGCAGTGAGGTGCCTGCAGTGGGATAGTACACTTAGAACAGGAATATTAAGCCATGTAGAGGACCAGCTGGCCATGAGCTTCCTGAACTGACACTGAACAACCCACATTAAAACCAAGCTGTAGTTGAGAATAGCTGTTTCCCTGCCTCATTTGCATACTTCACATACTATCTTGCAGCATTGAACACTGGTTAGAAGATTTCAAACTTGCAGGATAAGCCCTAGGAAGTGATGCATCCAGATTCTAGCATAAGCAGAACATAACTTTAAAAATGTCCCCATGTTTAAAATACTCAGCTCACTATTTCTAAATATTACTTGAAGTAGTACTCTAGTGTAGTACTCTACACGCTACTCTAAGCATATTCCTAGTCTTTCTCATTTCATGCAGGGACGTCAGGCTACATGCATTTTAATGCAGCAGGTACAATCAGGTCTTCAGAAACAGATCCCAACTTTTCCCATCTTTGACATTATTCTCTCAGACCCAGCCTCAACACTCAACCCAAGATGCGACAGCAGGACCTATCCAGTTATCCAGTAGTAACAAAGTTCATGTGTTTGCAAGTATAACCCATTACAAATGCTTTGGATACTTAACACTGAGCAGTGTAAACCTAAAACCTGCAGCTATTAGGCTAAAATGGTCATCTGATCTGCCAGCACTACCTGCCTTGCTGACCTGCATTGCAAAAAAAACCCAAAAAAACAAAAACAAAGAAACAAACAAAAAAAAAACCTGTGCACTCAGCACTTCAGAACTAATTTGGAATGCCACCAGTCCACATAACCAGCTTAATCAAAACAAATTCTCAAAGATTATCCATGGACTCCCATTCAGAAGACAGAGAGAAAAAAAGAAAAAAGCAGCTAATTGAACTTTATTCTTTGAGTTTTCAAATGATGACTCACAAGGAGAAAAACAAAACAAAACAAAAAAACCCCAAAGCTGTTTTCTCTTACAAGATTTCAGTGTCAAACTGTGTGCTAAGCCACAGTGATATACTAAAATTAATAAAACTATTTCTTTCAGAGTCCAGAGAAATTAATGCAAGCAAAAATATTTTTATAAAACTTTTCTGAGTTATAAGATTTCCATGCAGCTATTCTTAGTCTCCAAGTGTTGGTAGGTCCATTAGGACAAGTCTACATAGCACTCATATTTTAGGGACAGGCTGGTAGAAGCATTTTGTTAGCAATAGCTTCAGCCTGAGGAGCCCCTTTCTGTCATGGCCTTTGTTTCTTTCGTTTGTGTAAAGCCCTACCAGGTCCTGCTTCAGATTCCTATCTGACAGTCAGTTGGTAATGTAAGAATGAACATACAGCAGACTAATTGGAAACACAGAGCAAATGTTACAGGTTAGCTAGCTAGTGAGACTTTTGCCTTTTTTTTTTTCCATCCCCTCTTTTTTTAATTATTTCCCTCCCCTCTATCACTCATTTGCTCCCTGGAGATCACCAATGGCAGCTGCAAGGAGTGATAGGAGGAGAGCAGAATAAGACTTCCAGGGACCGTCAAACAACTGAAAATATCAGGTAACCTGATGACCTTGTCTAGGTTTTAATCAGATTGTGCCACTACCCCTTGTAAGCTGAAATGGACTGCAACATCAAGTATTGCAGACTGTGGGTAACTGCACAGAAGTCCACATCAGCATATTTCTCCTGTGAAAAAATAACATGCAGAAAGAACCGCTGAGGAATCCTTTAATTCACAAAGAAGTAGGAATGTACAAAAATGTTCTCCTTGATTCTGTCTGAGACTCCCCTCTGCAGTACATAAGACACAGTTTTAGCAAGTTAAAACTAAAATTAGACACTTTTATCTCATTATGTGGCTGCTTCCTAACATTTGTTCTGTGCACAAAGCTCTGTGAGGGTCAGTCTGGGCTATTTTCCTGATCCTTGACCAAAACTCAGACTCTCTCGCACTTGCACACTCTTTTTCCTTGCTCAGCATATCATGCCACAGCCCCTCTCCTCTATCTGTGCCAGTTTCTTTCCTTATGAGCCACAAATAAAACATCTCTAGGCTCCCTTCTCCATAAGCCAAAACCAAACCACTCCTGGACTCCATTCCCATCTTCTTTCTACAAGCCTCGTCTCCCGTTCTGCACCTCAGCAATCAGCTTTACGTCTTTTTATCAGCTCTCTTAGGCCTTTACTTTGCAGACCTCAAGATCTCTAAATGCTGCTGCCTCCAGGTTTCATGAGCCCCAGCAGCACACGTGTGCCTCGCATGTATGAATTTTGAGTTGGACAACAATCACTGACAGGCAAAGCCAACGACACAATACATAAGAAAGACTGCCTATAGAAGAAGTCTTTGCAATTGGAGGCACAGACACTCTGAAAGGCAAAATAATGCTGAGGCGAGCTAAGAAGTGCCCTCTGGCTTTAGCACCATAGGTGCTTCGTGGCTGTCTTTTCCTACTTTAGTCTATGGTCCCAGTTAATGTTCAAATTAGGTAAATAGAGATTACCATGAGAACTAAGCCAAATAACAGAGTGTTCAATAACAGGGGAACTCCTATGGCAGGAGACACATCACACAAGAATTTCCAAGGACTGCAGAAATGGAAGAGGAGAAAACAGAGGCACAAAAGGGAACATTAGAGAAGGGGAGGCATTGGGCAGGTTGTTGGAGGACTGTAAGGAGCAATATGCTCCTGTAGGAAGCCCCACATTACTCATGTGGTTTAGTTCTCAAAAGCAACCAGAACTTTGGATCTTATTCTAAAAGTTAAGACTTCATGCATTACCTCTTGCTGGCCTCAGTAGTGTATTAAGTTCTTTTACAACTCCTTGAAAATTTTAACAGCTCTTTAGGATCTCTCAAAACACTCCAACAACCTTTGGGCACAGAAGTACACTTAACTCCAGACAAAGTGCCCTATATAACTCAACCAAAACATAGAAATACTGAGACTAAAAGAATACTAATTAGAAATGGGATACATTATCTATGAGGTATTACAAGTTAAAGTTTTCCCCTTCAACATGAGTATTTTATGAGAAATACAGAAACACGATAAAGCTGGTAAAGACAACAAATAAATCCAGGGGCCCATCGTGTTGTGGAGAATAGAACAATTTTTAATTTTTTTATTATTTTTTTTTTTAGTAAATGCCCCTTCATAAGCCACATTTCCCTGTAACGTATTTGAGTAAGACTGCAATCCTCACTTCAAAGATGATACAATTTTCCCAAGCCTCTCCCTCAAGAGGTGTGTGGTTTGTGTTACTTAAAAGCAGAGACTTGGAATCAAACCCTGGCAAACACAGTTACACACTTCTGGAAATTTAATGCTTTTTTTTCTTGGTTTGGGGTTTTTATTACTGTCAACTGTTTCAGTATTTTAAAAGACATGTCACAACTTACAGTGCCACCTAGTTTCTAACCAAAAGGTTACTACCAGGTAGTAGAGCTCAGTCTGCTTTCACACAGTGTCCTTGAACGTTTCAAGGGATGAAAAGGGGATGAAGGGCTCAGTGTGCTCACACTCACCCTTTTGTTGTTTTCTTCTTCTTGTGCCTTTCTAAATTCGTGCTCTAGGGAGCAATCGATGTCGTTGAAGAGGCCCACTTCCTCACAGTTCTTCAGAAACCGTGTTGGTGTAGGAGTCTGATCTAAGAATATGACAAGAAATTATCATTAGTATTTAATATTGAAAGGAGAGGGAAAGAATTAAATAGTCTGCCAGGACAGGAGAAGTTCTAGCTAACCTCTCCATGCCTTCCTGTTCTCACCACACCATCATTAAAAACAAACCACACAGCACTGAATTTCAACACTATGGACTGCAGGCAGGCAGTGCTTGCCAACAGTGTCCAAGACAGGCAGCAATCATCATAAAACCAAAAAGACAAGAGGCGAGGTTTTCACAAGAGCACATAACACAAGTGCATATCCTTAACCTGTGCATATGGCCATCATAACTGTCTATAAACCCCCAATAAAAGTTGCATGCAAAACAACACATCGTGCATATGATAACACGCATTTACACCACGGCATGCAAGTAACTGCTGCAGATATGCGCTACTGAACATCTTCAAGTGCTTGAAAATCACCTCAGACATACACAAACTTTGCAAAACACATGAAGCATAGCAAGAAGTTGTTCTGCTTCTAAATTTTTGAAGGAGCGAAACGACATTTAGAAAAGCTGTGAAATGTTAAACTTTGACCACAAAGAAGCGTCCTTATGTGTTTTATACCTAAAAGTGTTGATAATACATATAAAACACAAGATTTTGAGTCAAAAGATTTTTAATGCATGCCTTCATCTCTAGGAATTTTTTGGCCTCTCAGAAATAATCTGGGGAAAGACAGGATTCTCTCTAATGCCACAGGCAGCATGGACTCAAGAAGATACAAGGTTGTCAGCTGCCTTTTCAAAAACCTGGAAGACAGATGGGATAAACTGCCCTGTGGACTGTAGTTTCAGTGATGACCTTGGCTAGTCTTTCTTCAGGAAGTGAAAAACCAAGTCCAAACTTGGGAACCAAGCTCAGCTCTGAAGCACTTCCATTCATTCTGAGGTGAGTTCTTAACTGTTCCACTTCAGCTTCCCCATCTTCTCCTCAATATTACAACACAGAGCTATATTAGCAACAGTGGGGTAGAATCCATACAGTCCTATCAGCTGTACACGTATTAAAAGAAAAAAAAAAAAAAATTCTCTCTTGGCATGTTAGTGTCTTCTTCCCAAGCCCCCATTCCAGCTCAAGCTGCTTTGTAGTACCTGATTTTATGGCAAGTTTGGACTGACTCTTCAAAAATAATCTTCTGCATAGTCATTGACAACTGTCCTATTGTTTGAAATTCATTCTTTAAAGAATGAAAACTGTCATACTAATCCCAGTTACCCATATTGGGGCAATTTTGACCTCATAAAAAAGCTTCCCACTTCAATGAGTTCTGGAAGAAAAATTTGGTTTCTTGCACCTAGCTAAGCTGGGTCAAGTTTTAATATTTCCCCCTTACAGGGAACAGTCACCAGACACAATGAACTCTACATGATCAGGATAGAAACACACAGCCACCCCTAAACAAAAGGCAGCATAAAAATAATTCATACAAAAGCAAATGCAGTTTCCACTTGGAAACTAAGGGGGAGGATCAGCTTCTTTCATTATAAAACCAACTGAGGCAAATTTCCACCTCTGTCAGGTGTGGTCCTACAGCTTTACCTTCTCAAGTAATTTAAGGGCAAACACGTTCACTTGCATTTATATTTCTTATGGAACATATGGACGTAACACAAAAAGTAAGTTCTTAATGTTAAAATGCTGCTTTATTTCTTTTGGCTTGAGCATCGTACTTCCAAGCTTAAAGGAAACAAAACTCAAGTGTTTGGGAATGCACACATATTTATCTATTGGTTTTCACAGCTAACTACTGTATTACCAGAGTCAGAAACATAAGACTTTCCAAAAATCTTGCAAGAACTCAGCACAAGGAGCCGAGTCAATGAGGTGCTGACATTGATGGGAGCTGAGGACACTCAGCACTTTACAGGTCCATATCCTAAGTAAGTAGTGCCAAACTAATCTCCAGGGTAGCCTCACTGAACTCAGTAGATTTACACCAGTAAACCTCAGTAGATTTACTCCGTTGTCTTTGGCCCTTGGACTGGAATTTATATCAGAAGTTAACTGCACTAAAAAGCAGGAGAAATAGATTTTACTTCCAAAAAGGATTAAATATCACTTTAGTGAACAACATGATCGCCTTGAAGAAAAACAAAGATAATAACTGCCAATGTTTTTATTTTCAGAAGTTGTATATCCATATCAAATAAGCAAAGTATCGGTTTTATGATCCTGGATTTTTTAAGAGTTGTTTCAGCCCAGAATTTGGAGGGTAGGGCAGAAGACAATACACTGACATAGATAAGGTCTTGTTATTTTTCATTGAGGTACACAGCTGATCCAGGAATCAGGCACTACTACAACAGGCTACATCAGGTCAGAGGCAACTTAATGGGTAACAAGGTTGTGATCAGGCAAGTGCAGCTTAAGTTCCTCATCTTTTGAGCACCTATTCCATGAATGTTAGATAGAAAAAAAAAAAATCAAAAAAACCCCAAACCAAAACCCTACCTCTCAGCGAAGTAAATCCATTTAACAGTGAAAACAAGCAACCCAGAGCAAGAATGTGTCTTCAAATGCACAAAGGCCTCATCGGCTTTTCTCTGCACAAGCTCAAAGTGTATCTTCTGCACCACAAGCAGTCTGAGATAATCACATGTTGTCTTGCCTACAGTTGATCTTTCCAATTAACTACTTGATTACATTAAGCACCAAAGCTGATACTACTTATGCCACCTACATATTGACAAGGTGATCTTAAATAAATACCTCAGTCTCCCCATACAGTTACTGCAGTTTCTATGATCCAGGAATGGGACTGTCAAGAATTCAGAACAAAGTTTTGTTAAAACAGACAGTCCCCTTTTCCTCCCCATCAAGAGCAGGGAACAGGGAACACCACCAATCACCCAGCCTGAACTCCATCCACAGACCTTCTGGAAGCAAGTCCAGTCAGATGTAAACCAAGAGCTGCCTTTCTACCTTATACTTCAACATTCATAGAAACCATAAGTCCATGAAACCACTGTGTTTGTATGAGAGCAGAACTGATAAAGATCCAGACTTTAAAACATTGAGACTTTACATAGTGTAGTAATTACACTGCACATGCACTGCACCCACTGGTTTCAGGACTTTAGGGCTACCAAGTCCAGTGGGCTTGCTTTGCTTCTGAGGTGACCAACTATTTTGCCCCCGCAAAACACTAGTTCTCTCTCAGGAGCTGGGCAAACTAGTAGAAAACATTAGTCTCAACACCACAGTAATCCTTTTACCTAAAAAAGGCAAGCTCTTGTGTTTTAATTGGGAACAATATCACAAAGGAGAACCTAGCATGAGTTACACATTCAGGTCTCCTAGAATTAATAAAATATTCCTAATTCTCAGCACTTAAAAATGCATTAATAGTTCCAACAGCTTGTGCCTGACCTCACTGTTCCTTGTTGGCACAAACAAACCTTCTGTTGCTATCACCAGCTCCCACAACTATTGCAGACTCACTGAGAACAGGGCTCTGATTTGTTGTACTTCTGCAACCGGATGTGCCAGACCCATCTGGACCAAAACTCAGACAGAGCTATTACCACTCTCAGCATTCCTCCTGAGGACGCACGTTACTGATGGAAGCTGTCAGCATGCATGCTGTTAGTCACACAACCCAGGACTCTAATGGCCCAAGCTGCATTTTGAACTGCGCAGCTTGGGATACAAATCTGTCTGGGTTAACCCGAGGTGTTTGGCTATTACACTGACCAGCCATCCCAACCCACTCCCATTGTTCCCAATGGCTACCAGACATAGTTTACTATGCTTTGAGGCATCTACTTCTAGCCAACTGCCACTTCCCAGGTGAACCTGTGTCATCTGACAAATACTTAGGAAGTTATTTCTACCTCACCTTCACCACCGGGTTGAACACAGAACCTGTCAAGCTTCAAACAAGGCAATAAATAATTTTGTTCAGTTTATTACTCAGGTGAACAATCAGACTTTCTGATGACACAGCCATGACCAGAAAGGCTGCAAGAAACATTACGTTTAAATAAACCCCAAAAATGTAAGTGGACAACATAAAAACCTCAGAGCAAGATCAAATGGTCTCACATGTGCAGATCCCAAATAAACCTACTGTACCTTACAGGAGAAGATTTCAGAAGCACTCAGCAATCAGATTCTGACCAGAATCTGATACACTGGATATATTTTTGCTGCTGACTATTTTGAAAACCTGTCCTCAGTGACTGAAGTGATACCTGATTTTCCAGACTAGTTGAAAAATATATGCGAAAATACAATGGGAAATTTGAAGACTGCAGTAATGAGATCCCATTATATATTAATTATGTTTGGCTATACAAATTTTGTTGTTGTTGTTTGGGTTTTTTAATTAATGAAATAACAGTCCCAGGACACTCAGTCTCAATATATTGCTTTAAAAACAACAGCCCAGGAAATGCCACATTAGCTTTCTGTATAGAGAGAGTTTATTTGAATGTATTTTGTAAAACTAGCTTGGATCCTAGAGTTTCATCCCTCAAAGTGCAAATGAAAACTTTAAAGCATGATACCAGTTACAAAAAAAAAAAAAAAAAAAAAAGAAAAAAAAGAAAAAGAGAACCAAAGGACAGTTACACGAAACAAGCTTTCATTTTGAAAGGAAAAAAAAAATCTGATTCAGTATGAGATATCTAACAGCACAGCTCCAAAGTGTGTAACTTGACTCTCCATCCATCTTTAAAAAAAAAAAAACCAGTTTAGTCTGATGTGCAGTAATAACAGGCATTTGGCTTGTTCAGCTGCGGGCTCTGTTGAAGTTATGTACTTACCCATGTTATACTTTCACACAATGATAACAAAGTCAGAGTAATAGGGCTTGCACTGAAATTTGAAGGGCTGTCCATCAAGCAGCCACAAGGAAAGAGAAAAGAAAATGGAAGGAAAATGTCCTGAGAAATTCAAGAAGGTTTCTTCATTGATTTGACAGGTTACTTCCCAAGTGCGTTAAGAAACTCAAGGTCACGACACCTCAAGCAGGTGATGGAAGAGAAGGAAGAGGTGCACCCAGTCATACCTGGTGGAACTGCCCTCTCCCAGGGGCTCACAGATGAGGGCTCCTAAGAACTTTACTGCTTAAAGATTCATTGTTTAAAGTGTTGGCTGGACTTTCTGTGGGGGTACGCATACTGGGTACAACACATCTATAATCTCTTCTGGTCACTCAAAACTTGACCAATTGAAGTTTAAAAGACTTTTCATTTCATTATTTGGTAAAGCAAGGGGGGCAGAAGTGAACAAGAAATCAAACAAAATTATTTTTCTTTATATCAAATCATCTTTCACTCCACAAAATCCATGCCTAGATAAACCTCCCTGTGTAAACCACAAGGAGAAAAAAATTAAGCCAAGCAAGGATGCCCACGTTACCTCACTATCACAGGCATTACCTGGGAAAAGTAATACATTTGCACTACCTTTAGCACATACCCCTTTTCATCCAGAGGAGACTCTTTCTGTTTCCACAGTGCTCTCTACCACCAAAAATCTAGAGGATTTGATTTGAGTAAATAGAATCAGGAAGAAACAAGGTTTCTAAACATAATCCTGGCCTCTCCTGTATCTGCTAGAAGCACTTTCAGTAGGATGCCCTCCCCCTGCAATGATTGTAAGGTGTCACTCCTTCCCTTCCCAAATCTGATACCACAGGAACCTCAGTGTCTTCAGCTTCCAAAGTTCAGTTCCACATTGCTGTTAGTACTTAGCTGGAGGGAACAATCTGTCCCACGGACATTAATATTTTGGTGTTAAACCAACAAAAGCTTTGACACACAACAAACTAGAGTTTCAAAGCAATGCAATATTTAGTTAGCACAACAGCAGTAATGACATCTCTTTCAGTCAAACTAACAACAAAGTTTCCTGCAATGATGACTAGCATGCAAAACTTACACAAGATATTCTGTGTTATCTCAAACAGCTCTTTTTTGGCTAAGAAAGATAGAAATGGAAACTGTCAATGACTCTCTAGCCATACTCACAACAAAGCTTTCTAAAAAACAAAAAATACATACACAAAAAGGAACAAATAATATTACAGTCTTTTTTTTCTGTCTTTTTAAATTAATATCCAATTATCCAACAAAAGGATCAGTTGCACTTTCATGCAATGCCTTTAGCAAAATTTCCTTCCATTTACACAGTCAGAGACCATAAAGCTCTTTAGTATATTTACGTATCTGGAGTTTCTGAATTAGTTCAGGAGTCACTAGATTTAATAAGACTTGGTTTTCTTCAGCCAGCATCAAAAATCTAAGCAAATATAGTGGAGCTAGTTGTTAACCAGGAAGCTCCTGGCTAGACATATCTGATAAACCAGCATAGCACCAATAATCTCAATGAGGTCACAGAACCTCGTTTATTAATCACTGACCCCACCTACACAGCAACATATAACATAACTTTACCTCTCACTTACAAACTGGAATTTCAGACCTCAGCACAGATTTCACACAAGAAACGAGTTCCTACTTCCCAAGCCATATCTTGCTTAGTTTCTAAGATGTTGTACTGGTACAAGAACAACAGCCCCTCAGTTTTAGTGCCTACTTCCAGTAATAGTTTATAGAAGACATGCTTAATGTGTGTTAAATATTACTGATATTACACTGACCCCAAACCGGGTATCAGCTATCTCTGGAAACAAAGCAGATAATTCTAATGGCTACCTGAAAGTATACAGCCCATTATTTTGCATTACTTACTAACAATACTGATTGGATTCAAACACAACACATTAAAAGGTAGTATACAATATACTGGAAAAAAAGCATAAATTCTGACTTCTAGGCACCTTAATAAAAAGAGAAAAGAACTCCACCACACATTAACACCGCACCTGGCTTATTATAGGGCAATTGCTGCTGCTGCAATTCTTTGAACCTACTGATGACAGAAACAATTTAAAAAAAAAATTTCAAATAAGCAAAATGCAAAAAACAAGAAGGAAGACATTAAGACAAATATCTAAGAGAAAAGCCTGCCTCTTTTCCCCATATATCATTAATTTTTCATTATGAAATCTAAGAATAAAACATCTTAAACTTTAAGGTATTTGGATTTCCCCAGGGTTTAGGTGGGTAATGAAACAACTATTTTTCAATGTCTCCCTGCAGAAAGCAGATGATCTATGACGCTTCCAAACTAAGGATTGCAAAATGCCAAACAAATCTACCAAATGAACACAAAAAGAAAAATCATACACAGCAGAACCAGGTTGCCAGACCATTACAGTCAGGCACATTTGCTGCAATCTTTGAGAACATGTGCAGCTTTTTACTCTTTCATTACTATAGAGGATCACCATCCACAAAGCGCAAAGAATATATCCCTCAGAAGCACTCTTGGAGACTTTCTGGACACAAAATTCTGTATTTCAATTTACTTAGTTGGCTAACTGGAGGCCAAGGGGCCCCGCTGCTGATGGTAGTGGTGGAAGCCAGTCAGAGCATTTTGCTTGGTAAAGCAACCCACTGGAAGGAGCAGGACAGCTGTCTCATAGAAGTTACCAAACATAAATGGAGCTACTCTACTCACAGGACTCCTGATGACAGGATATACTCCTTAGAAACTGCCCTCAAGCAAAAGTCTTGCCTAACAGAAGGTTCTAACAAAAGCCAGCACTTTCACGGGGTGAATGTGCCCACAGTCCAATGTCTTCCAGCAGTTTCACTGCCAGAGGACACGGCCAAGTGCAAGAGCAGTGTTTTCTCACTCATGCTTGCAAACACAGAATTCTGTGAGCACAGCTGGCATGAAGGCACTTTACAAGCCCTACTCTTCAATGTGTTGTGTACTGTTCCTTTCTAAACTTAGTCCACTATGCTATTTTCAAGTGTAAGAGGAAAATAAATTCTATTTGAGACAAGGTCTGTCTGATTTCTCACTGGTGCCTAATGTCTCAACAACAACAACAAAAAGCCTAAAACAAATACATGCAAGCAATTGCTGTGCAATCATGATTTTCATGAAAATGGAAACAGTTTATCCATAAAAGAGTTCGCCTGTTGGAGACCCTTTAATCATCATATATTTTCAACTAAAATGGCACAATTTACCTTGAAGAAGCCATTTCAAAAGATACATACCAAACACTGGTTAACATCCACACATGTTTGCATCATAGGTTTTTTTCTACAATTACTCTGAAACTTGAAAAATCCTAGTGATATTAATCTTGATAATCCATTACTATAGCCCATGGAATATACAATAGGAGAGGAGAGATGTGGTAAGGTGAAGGCTAGCTTGACCTTACCCAGCACTCAGCGAATGCCAGCAAGCCAATGGTGCATGGTTACTCAGACACAAGTATGAAAAAAAAACCTACGTAAGAAACTAAAGGATGTAATTGCGCATAACACCAAATAACCGCTGTGCTTGGCAGGGGAAGTGCAGAGAGAGATGGTTACATCTAGGGGAAAAGACTACTGGATATTACCCACTGGCTTACCTTTCCAGTTATGGCTACTTAGGGTGGGCAGGTCAGCATACAATGTGGCCTGTTACAGTTGCTGACATGAGCCTGTCAAACTTAAATAGTGAGTCTTACAGGGACAGTACAAATGCTCTTCATTAACACGCTCACTGCTGGGCTCCCAGGTGACACGTGCTTACGTGCCTGTATTGCACTCACACGTTGACATGGGAGTCAGCAACAGAGCTGCCAGCGTGGCCGAAGTTCAACAATTTCTCTCTGTCTCGTGCCAAACCTGGGGGAAGGTGTAAGAATGGCAACTGCCTTTTTGCTCAAATATATGCATTCTAGCTTGTTCCATCTCTACTTGTCATTTAACTGGAGCTGGAGCTTTTTAACACCAGTCTTGGAGGTATTTTGCCAGTAGCTTTCCAGTACGAGTCATGCTTTCAACATCATCAGAATAGTTATCTTGACTCTTGAAATCGTGTCTTCTTACCTGATAACATATTATCTGTTTTTATTGAAGGAAACTTCAAAGTCATTTCATGTTTGTGCCTGTGAATCATCAGATGATCCTCTGTTGGAAAACGCTGTCAGGCAAACACGGTGGGGAGAGAGGAAGAGAGAGAGGAAAAAAAAAAAAAAAAAAGAATTTAATTCTCTAATAAACTTTTGGCATTGGACAGAATTTCAAAAATGAGAGAGATAAAGAAATGAAATGCATCCAGTTAGAAACATGTCCAAATGGCACGGGAAACAGAATATTTGAAAATACAAGTGAGAATGATAACAAATACCTGTACTCTACTTAGAAACATATTTGCTGCAGTGCTCTCTGGGGTTGCAAACAGAAAGATGTCATGAATTTGCTTGAAAAAGTTGCAGACCAAGTTTTGGATTCTAAGGGTCTCAGACACTCGCTCCAGCTCCTCACAAGTCACCACGTGCCTGAGGATCTGTGATAACTGCTGTTATGTATGCTCTTAGCCCACGGCAAATGCAAAGTAATGTGGTATATCTTAAATCATTTTACTGTATTTTTCTGCTTTTGTGTCTTTCTGCAACCTGTATCTGCTGAGCAGCAGCAAAAATAATAAATAAGCCATCCTTTTACTACCCAAAATATTCAGGCAAAACACATCTTTAATTTTGGAAAACTCTGATACTTCTACTTGACTCAGAGTGGCAATGCAATGGTGCTCAGTATATAATGACTACTTATGACCCTTTATGATACTAAATTAAATTGTTTTCCTTTTCAAGCAGAGGTGTGCTTTGTAATAAACTAATCAGTGTGCTAAGTTTATTTTACAGTCTGATAGCAGACTTCTACAACAAATAGCTTCTTTTGAAGCAGACAAAGAAGAGACAAGCTGGAATAAATGTTCAAGCACTTGCACACTTTGGGCTCTAAGAGCAGACTGGTTCTGTTACGTTTCCTTCACCAGAAGGTGCATACACAGACCTTCACTACAAACTACTGGAATAGTTTTAACAGGGTTATTTCAGGACTAGCAAAGGCCAAAAGTTGTATCACCATGGCTTCAGGAAAAAAAAATAAAATAAAAGCAGCTTTTTAAAGCAACAGGTACACAGGAGTCTGTAAAAAACTGGCAACAACAGAGTTAAAGTGGCCTAATGCTTTCAGCACAGTATATTCTTGGCTAAGTGACTTTGCTTGTGGCTATAGTATAAATAGTTGCAGTATGTCACACCTTCTGAGAATCTCTTTAAACCTACAGACAAAGCAGCATAAATAATCTGAATGAATTCTCTGGAAAAAAAAAATCCCAAAGACCTTTTCCTCTCTGTGAAACTTTGGTTCATTGCTTACTCATCTGGAAGAAATGCAGCACTAGAAATTTATGTTAAGAACAAAGGGAATATACGAAAGACCTTGTTCAATGAAATTGTGAGGTGGGAAAAAAACCCCACATTTTGTTCTCATGGAAATGGATTTTCCTTCATGGATACCACACTCTGTCTTCAGGGTGAAGTTGGCCAGCTTAAAGATGGCATGGGGCAATTGAGGAGAAGCTACTCCTCCAGCGCAGACTTCTCTTTTTTTGTAAGTCTACTTTTTTCCTTGTACAGAAAGTCACCTCTCTCAGCCCTCAATACACATCCACACTGGCTGATAGAGAAGGCAGTCCCTAGAGAGCTTAGCTGCATAGCAGTGCTATGCTACCCTTCTGTCAAGTTCTCATTTACAATAAACAAAGGTCATGTTTTGAAATGGGAAATTAAGTTTTCTTTAAGATGAAGTCACACTTACATTTCTTGTCTTTCCAAACTGTAACAGCATACAACCAAACCTGCTCTCTGAACGCCTATATGAGCTTGTTCAAAACAGCTTCCCTTCCATGGAAAAAATTAATTAATAGATTATATGAAAACACTCAAGCCCACTGATTTGAGTGGAAGTTAGTTTTAAGATTCAACAAAAAGGTAAATAAAACTTAACTATAAAATTCAGATACTTTTATTCTACGTCTGTGACAGAATGGTAATAGTTTAACTCTGCATGTGGAGATCTGAAGTGACAAATCCTTGATCCGAGGGACAATCCAAAAGATGCACTCTGACACCCATAGAAATGCTCCCACTTCAGGAAACAGCGAAGCTGCTCTCCCAGTTGTTAACCAGGCCTCAGGTTTCTCCCTTTCCTTATTTCAGCTTTTGACAAAATCAACATCTACACTCCAGTAATAGCCACCCATCGTTCCACCAGCAGAACCTAAAGGGTTGTAAAAATATTAGCCAGCTGAAAAGTCACAACATACAGTTAAAGCAGGGAAATATTACCCTCATTAAGAGAGGAGGACTCTGGGAAATGGGTAAGCTAAATCACTTAGATACATACAGAAAGCCTGTGGCAAAAGTCCAAAAGATGCCCTTGCCTGAAGATTTTACTCACAAACTCTTGTCACTAAACCAAATTAGAGCCAGAAGCATGACATGTGGAACTTCCTTCATCACTGCAAACTTCCCTCACCATTGCAAAATCATCAAAAAAACACATAAATCCCAATTCAAGGATTTTACCTCCTGAGATTTTGTCACTTCAGGTTTTTTTAAAATCATTAAACATCAAAACTTACAAGTCAGATTATACCCTCAGAGACATGTGGCAGATCACCAGTCAATAGGAATCCCAGATGTACATGCTGGGGCAGAATTTACCTACAGGCTGCATTTTCTATAGAGAATATTTAGTTGGAAGATGTCTCAAAGATTTACTTAAAGAAAAACGCTAATAAGATATCACTGTATTAATATTACAAAAAATATAAAACCAGGGGGGTTACCACATCCAATAGGAAGCATAATATATTCTATCATACATCTAAGCAGAAGACAGACAAGTGTGTCCTGCCTAGTGTTTCCTCTCTTGCTGGCAAAAAAGGAATTTGCAATACCTGGCTTGAAGCATTAGGCTTGGGGATGAGGGTAAGGCACAGAAGTAGCTTAAGAAGCACTTTTACTAACAGCACATTTGACAGGCTGTTGTATTTGCTCTAAATATCTTCTAATAATATCTTGTGGAATAAGGAGGGAATTGAGAGGGGGAGGGACTTAATAAAAATAAAATAAAAAATAACCAACACACATATTATTATTAGACACGTGTTAATATATCAGGAGGCATTATACAAGCCAGAGCTAGTGCTGAGGACTCAATATCACCGCTGACTCCACTCACCTGTGAGCAGCCTGGGGCACTGCAGACAAAAGGCCTCTCCTGCTCCAAGTTCATCTTTGATTCCTCATAAATCTACATGTTAAAAGGGGGAAGGGGAAAGAAAGGGAACCTATGAATATATACGTTCTAAACTTCACACATAAATGCAACATACAATTGTCACGGTTTGTGCTTTTATTTCAAACTCCCAAAACAGACCAGAACAAAGTTTTCATCCTTAGAGTACTAAATTTGCTAATATTCAGCAGGCTCCCTACAGTCTAAGTTATTATTACTCCTTCCTGAGCACATATTTACTTTGAAGGAAGAAAAAAAAAAAAAAAATTAAGCTTTCACAGCAGAAATCTGTCTCAGAAAAAAAGCATATGTTCAGTGTTGTTATTAGATAAGACCGTGTCTGCTCAGAAATATCTCGAATTAAGGGTTTTTACCTTTCCTTCTTCAGTTCCTGCT